AGATTTCTATAACCCCAAATCTGCTGAGAGATCTTCTTCCTAGCAACGCCTCCTACCCGTTCTATATCAAATTATTCCTAAGAAGCACTTATTCCTAAGAAGCGATTATTCAGTTCTTAAAGTTGAATATCAATAACAATGTAAAATAAGTCAACCCGATAATGATGAAAGTTTGTTATTTCTTCACCTTTTCATACTGACCGTCGATGAGTCTTGAATATAGAGTTTATATGTGGAACTTCAATGTCAAAAACATTACAAAAATGTGAAACTTCTTCTAGTAAAGACTTTCATCCATGTTCACTCATCATCTGCAATCATTATTTGGACATTTGCATTAATTTCATTATATTTATAATTTCTTGATCATTTCTTTATAAAGTTTGTGATAATTTATTTATAATTTTCAAAATGTAAATCATTAAATGCAGTGATAAGACAGTTAAAAGACTTAATAGTTTAATTGACTGTTAATCATGTATCAATTATTCCTTGATAATTTCAAGCACTAGAGCACAGAAGTATAAATTTTCATCAAACTAATTAGGATTTGAAAATATGAACTCTAACTGATGTCACCAACTCATTGTAAATTAGTTTGTTGTTTAAATCTCGACCACTAATTAACTCTCCGGTACTTAAATGAAAAACTACTTTATCATGTTGAAGTGCGCTCAAAGCATCAATTCTCTTGCATGAAGTTCTAACAATATTCAGAATTCTTAAAGCAATCTCAAATAAATATTACATTTACTAATGATTCTTTGCTACAGCCACTAAGAATAGTTGGAGTTGATGAATAAAACAATAAATATAGATTGTCTGATGATTATCTTTTAATATCAGTGCTTTGAAACCATTAAACTTCTCTTGCATATTAGATTCTCCATCATAATCCTGTATATGTATTCTATATATGCTTAATAAATGCTATGCAAGAAGAGTTTCAATAGATACCTTCAATATTGTTGCATTTGTTAAAGAAATATAATTAATACTTATGATCATTTCAATTATTTGTCACAACTTGTCTACATATCGCACTGAAACAGCTAACTGTTCTTTTGTGGACATATCACGAAACTCATCAACTAAAATGGTGAAGTAGGAATCACCGATATCATTCATGTTTGAAGACAAGGTCTCAGCTACGTTAGAACTGCATATCTCTTCTTATTTTTTGATGAGTCAACTTTAGCTTAACACTTGCATTTTTAAACATTACTTTTCCAACTTCTTCATTATAATCGACAAAAAATTGAAATAATTCTAAATAATTATATTGATTATCTGAGCTAGATGATTCATCATGCCCACGAAATGATAGCTCTTGGTGAATAAGAAATCGAATATAGTCAATAGTTTTCAACATATCTCCTTTTAAGCAAGAGCGTATCTTACTTAACATCACACTCAATTTTCAAATTACAGGGTGGCACTTCCTCTCATTATCAAATTGGGGAGAACCACCAAATAGTTCCAAAATGCCCTAAAGGCTTACATATGTTATTTATTCCTAACAGCATAATACCTTATTATCCAAGGGTTATTATTCAATGGGCATGATAAGTCATCTAGCTCAACTAATCAAGAAAGTTATTTAGAACTATTTCAATTTATTGTCCATCATAATGAAGTTTGTAAAAGTAACATTTGAAAATACAAGTGCCAAGTTAAAGTTGACTTTGCCAAAAAAATTAATGGAGATGTAGTTTTGAGGCAATTGAGACCATGACTTCAAACATGAATGATATCGATGATTCATTCTTCACCATTCTAGTTGATGAGTCTTGTGATGTATCCAAAAAAAGAATAGTTAATTGTTGCAGTGCGATATGTAGATAAGTTGGGTCAAACAATTGAAAGATTCATAAGTATTAATCATATTTTTTCAACAAATGCAGCAGCATTGAAGGTATCTGGTGAAACTCTTCTTACATAACTTTCATTAAACATACATAGAATACAATCAGAATTACAATGGAGTATTTAATATGCAAAGTGAGTTTAATAATTTGAAAATGCTCATACTAAAAGATAGTCCTTAGGCATTCTACAATTATCATTTTACTCATCAACTTCAACTATCCTTAGTGGCTATAATAAAAAAATATTGGCAAGTGAAGCATTTATTTGAGATTATTTCAAGAATTTTGAATACTGTTAGAACTTCATGCAAGAGAATTCATGCTCTAAAAGTAATTCATTGTGATAAAATAATTTTTCATCTAAGCACTAGGGAGTTAATTAGGGGTCCAGGTTTGAACCAACAAACTAATTTACGAGATGGTGACACCCATTGGAGTTCACATTTTCAAATCCTAATTAGTTTGATGAAAATGAATGCTTTTGTACCCGAGTGTTTGAAATTGTCAAGGAAGAAGATATACATAATCATCAGTTAGTTAAGCTGGTATTTTAATATAAGTTAGGGAGACTTTTGAATTTGTCTTATCATTATATTTAATGATTGATATTTTGGGAATTACAAATAAATTATCACAAGCTTTACAAAGAAATGATCAATATATTATAAATGCAATGAAATTCATATAAGTGTCCAAATAACAATTACAGATGATGTGTAAAAATGGATGGGAGCCTTTATTAGAAGAAGTGTCACGTTTTTGTAATATTTTTTACATTGAAATTTCAATATGAACTCAATATTCAAGACTCGTCAATGGTCAGTACGAAGATGTGAAGAAATAACAAACATGCATCACTATCGGGTTGACTTATTTTATATTATTGTTGATATGCAACTTTAAGAACTGAATAACCATTTCTTAAAAACTAATACTGAGTTGTTTCTTCGTGTGACATGTCTAAACCCAATCAATATGTTCTCTGCTTATGATAAGAGAAAGTTAATTCAACTTACAGAGTTATATCCAACAGATTTTTTTATGATTGATATTGTTTCTTGAATATCATCTATCAACTTATATAATTTATATGAGTACAAGTGGCGAATTCATATTTTTTATTAGCATTGCTGCTCTTGTAAAACAAATTATAAAGGCCAAAAAGAATATTGTGTATCCACTGATTTATAAACTTATTGTTCTGACATTAACTTTATCAGTGGCTATTGCAACAATGGAAAGAACATTTTCTGTAATGAAGATTATTAAATATCTATTGCGGAGCAAAATGGGTAATGTTTGACTTAATAACTATCTAGTGTCATATATTGAGAATGAAGTATTTGACTCTGTTTCCAATGAAATCATTATACAACATTATCCGAAAATGCAAAGTAAAATGCAGAGCTTGTAATTATTTTAAATTCATACATTAAATGAAATGCAATATTTTGCTTAGAATTTTAGCTTATTATTATTTTTTTTATTTTTAATATTCAGTTTTTTTATAATGAGTTCCCCCCTTCAAAAATAAGGCTGGTTCCGCCCCTAGCTAAAGTGCTAGCACATAAAAAGCCTTAGCTAATTCAATTCTGACCTTGAATAAAGGTTGATTAAGTTCATAAAAGCCCTTCCTTCAATTTGGCCAACATGAATTCTATAGCAAGCATAGTTCTTGATTTAAGGGTCAAGTTTTTTCACACAAGCTTCAAGCCTAAGGTTTTGACTACAAGTATGCTCCAAACTCCAACGATAAAAATGAAAAATATAGCACATTCTAGAGGTTAAGGCATGAAGCATGTGATAGATTTTTCCAGAATATAAGGTTGGTAAAGGCACACATACAACAAATACCATATTCATTATATTAATTGTTGAAAAATTCAACTATTTCCTTGATACTTTGAAGCTCCTAACTTTCCTTATAATATTATAAAGTTTTTTATAAAATAGATACAATACATTAGGCAGAATTCAACAATCAATCAAACATAAACACATATATCAACAAACACAAAATTCACACAAACATATGCACAAAAACACATGTAAAAACGTAGGGACATTGGGACAAAATATTGATATCAAGTAAATCCTAAAACTCACCTCCAATTTAAGGGATTCATTTTTTTCCCGTAATGAGAGCACTTCCTGAAAAAAAAAAGAATAAAATTGTTCCTCAATTCAAATCTAAAAGATACACGTGAAGTAACGTGAAACCTGCCAATGTATTTCAACCTTTTCTAGGTCAGTATTGGTGATTGCAATCAGCGGAGCATATAGGTTAATCATCTCGGTTTGCTTGAACCTTGCGCTACATTGTGGACACTGCAATATGAATCATTTAAATCAAATACTATCAGTGCTTTCCAAAAATTCTACAATCCTGTCTCAAATTAAACAAGATCCACCTCAGCAATATCTACATACCTTCGCTGCACTCTTTTTGCATTGTTTGATCCATTTTTCTAAGCAAGATCTACCATAAACATGTCCACAGGGAATGCAACTACATAAGAAAGAGGAGTAAAAAACTACAGCATGATAAACACATAAATAGAAAGCAAACGACCAAAAAAAAAAACTTTCTCAAATCTTTAAAACTTGGCAATGAAGCTCATAAAAGTGAAATTTTACATAGAACTGTGTAGAAAGAACCAGCAATATGTTGTAGAGTCATAATGCAACTATGTGCAATGCAGCGCAACAGCAAAGTGGAGGCCCTGCTAGAAGTGATTTATAATGGGGAAAGATTGACCTGAATATGACGTGTGCTTGATTTGCCCGTGAACTTTCAAGGAGAATGTGTATGCATGTCAGAGTGAGAAGGGTCATTGTGGGGTTTGCAGGAAGAAGAAATAAATGCCAGTTTAGTGAAAGCATTGCTAACCTAGTTAAAAAAAAATACTGAAATCATTTTAATTAATGTGTGAGTATAAAATTGCTCCCTGGCATCTTACCTTTAGTGATCAACAGCTGGATTTCCAAACAAAGAAAACAAGCCAAGGCCTATTTCAAATGCATAGATTTTTCAATAAAATAGCATTATTTCAAATCTCTTAAACTAAATTCTACTCCAAACACATATGCATGATCCTAAGCTCTCAATAATCACCCAAAAGCTCTTATGTTTATAGTTTTAAATGATTTTAGAATGAGTTTTAAGTCTCAAAGTTGTTCTTAGCCATGAATATATGACACAAATAACAGTCATATATTGTAGAAACATCCAAGAGGATTCAACTAGACTGTAATTGATGAAGACATCAGTCAGAGATTTCGACACGTGTACCATCGGAGGAATCGTAGAACGACGGCTACGATTCAGAGTCTATATCTTTGATTTATTTTCATGTATTTTCTATTTGGTATTTTCAACTTACTAGTTTACCCCTATGGGTGTTGAGTCTTTGTTGTAGCCCATGGGGCATATGAGTCACTTTGTTTTCTTTTGTTGAGACCTATATATAGAGGTCATTGTCTTTATATGAGATTAATGTTAAATCAATAGAAAATTTCATATTTCTGAGTTCATGATTTTGTGAGTTTGAGAGGAGAGGAGTAGCCTAGGAGAGGCTCAAAAGAAATACCCAACAGCCGCCTTTGTGGGAGTTCTTGGTTCTTTGGTTTTTTTTTCTTTCTTTTCTTCCCTTTTCTCCTAGTCGCCGGCACCCCAAATTCACCTCCTTACCCCCGCCCGGCCAGCAATCCCCATGCCTCCCCACGCCTCCCCTTTTTCCCTTAACAGCCTGATCACGCACCCCCCCCCCCACAAAATCCGGCCCAAATCCCCCAAAGCTCCTTTCACCGGAGCCAACACCCAAGCCGCTCGTCCCCCATTGCACCCCCACCCGCCGACCAACCTAAGGCCAAGCCTTGGAATTTGATTTTCAAATTCAAGTAGGCTTTCATTGCTTTCCTAATTTGTCCCATTGTCATTTAGGAAGTTTCCTGATTTAAATTCAATTTGAAATTTGAATTTCAAATTCCTCCCTAAATGATAAAACCCAATTAGGAAACTATTCATATGTAATCAAAACTGAATTTAATTCAGAATTTGATTTAATTAATTATTCAATCATCTGGGCCCCACTTACATTGAACCTAGACACAAATTTAAATCCCCATAGGGCCGGCCCCCTCTCTCTCTCCACTTTGCCACTGAAGCAACATTTAATCCCTTCCTAAACCCCCTAATAGCCGCCGACCTCATTAATCCCTTAATTGGGTTAATTTGAATTTCAAATTGGCTCTCCCTCTCTAATGAAAATCTGAAATTTAGAATTCAGATTTTCCCTCTCACCTTCTCCCCCCAAACCACTTGGCTTAACCCAAAAGAAACCCTAACCCTAGCCGCCCCTCACCCTCCCCAAGTCTTCTCCCATCATCCTCCCCCTTCTTCCTCACAAATCTCAAGCTTGTTCTTCTCCAACCGCCACCACAGCTATGCATGGCCGATCTGGAAGCCGACCATGGATTCTTATATGATGATCAAGGACGAACAAACATTCTCGAATCTCCTTTCTTCGACGTGAACCTAGACGTGGATGCTTCCGTGGAAGATTATTTAAATCACATCCTTTTCACGCTGGTACCCTCCATCAAAGAGCACATTCCTACCGGGCGTTGGATACTCACTAGTCAACTGGTGGATTCCCCGTCGCCGGCCACCTCTCCAACGAACTACACCTTGGGCATCACTTGCCTTTTAGTGGCATCGCTAAGCTTGTTCTCAATCTTCCTCCACTAAAGTACGTCCACCACGAGTGTGAGTGAGGGACCCAAGGTGAGCAAATTTATTTGTTAAACCGTGGATTAGTGTTTCTTTGCCGTAACATTACTTTCTCTATTTTTTGTTGTTAACTTGTAAGCATCCTGTTAATCTAGTTGTAATCGCATGCCTTACATAATTTCTACTAGATAATTCTAAAACCTAATTTGGGAGAACAAGAAGTTTATAACTAATAAAGCTTTAGTAATCAAATATTAACATCCCTAAGAAGTTCTTCTTTACTTGCATGGTTTTACATCATATGTGGTATCGGAGCATGTTAAGCATGTATTGCATGAGCTAGAAGTTCCTAGGAGTATAGTTAACATTTCCAAAACTCATTTGCATGTATACCATTACCTAGTTAATTTAGTTCACTATTTTTCCTTGTTGTCCATTAAATTACTGCACCAATTAGTGGCCTTTAGGTGAGCCTAAGCTAGTGTTTAGGTGCTGTCCACACTCTAGAAACCTTCCAAAACACTTAGACAACTTAGGTCTTTGTTGTAGCTTGCTGTCCTGATCATCCCTGCATCATTTAGAGGCATTAGGAGCATATTATCTTAGTGTCTAGGTGTTGTCCCTTACCCCATTACCTCCCCTAGCCTCCCCTAACACCTACCCATTGATCCGGAACATATTCAAGCGGCTTTAGACCTCATCGTGGGATAACTTGGGACGGTTACTCAACAAATTAGGAACACCCAAACGGATTTAGCGGACTTTAGATGCCAAACTGGTGAACGCCTAGATAACATGGAACATTTAGGAAACCCAGCGATCTATACTCCTCTAGGCCACATTCTCCTTACGGTGATGATACCCGAACTGAACATGGGCCTCCTAGAGACCACTACCGTCCCAACCATCGACCCAATCAGGAACCTTTAGGGCGCGACATTTCCTGGAGAGATAATGATGCCCGATTGCTTAAGAGCATCCGTATAGATGCCCCGTCTTTCGATGGTATGTCAGAACCCCAAGTTTTCTTAAACTGACTAAAAGAAATGGATAGCTATTTCAAATGGTATAATATCTCGGAGGAAATAAAAGTTAGATTTGCCGAAATGAAGCTAACGGGTAGAGATAATCAATATTGGACCAACCTTGAACACATGCGCGAAACCCAAGGAGAATATCCCATTAATGACTAGAGGACCATGAAACAAGAGCTTAAAATAAAATATCTCCCACCTTCTCACTACCCTAAGCTTTTGGATCATTGGAATAGACTAACTCAGGGAAGTAAATCAGTAAAAGATTATATAGCTGCTTTCGATGACTTTATGATCCGCTGTAGTGGGAAAGAGACCACTACTCCCGCCCAACTTCTTTCGATGTTTAGAGCCAGATTAAGTGAAGATCTCCGAAATGAGCTTTTTGCCAGAGGAGTTACTACCTTAGAAGCCACTTGTAGTCTTGTGTTAGATTTAGAAGAGTCTAGTAGCCATGCTCCTTCTAGAAACCAAGACTCTCGTCCTAACCCTTTCAAATCCTCCTCTAGCCAACCGCACAACAAGCCTACTTGACCCATGACTAGTCGACCTACCCCTGGCCAAGCCCAACCCCGCCCTGACTATAAGGGTAAAACCCCTGAATGGGAAGCACCCAAGACCCTTGCGGGTACTAAATGTTTTCGTTGCCATGGGTACGGGCACATTGCCTCTCAATGTTCCAGCCCGTTTAAAGTCACCATCATTGAGGAAGCCATCGACGAAGAGGATGAACCAGACATCGAATTAGTTCACCACATTGATGACGATGATGAATTTTTCTGTGAGGAAGATACTGCTGGGGTCCACTGCCTCTGGAAGATGAACCACTTAGACCTACAAGTCGTTAGGTGTGCTTTTTCACAACCTAAGTTGAGTGAAGACTGACGAAGAACATCAATCTTCCACACTTTCACCAAGATAGGTGACAAGAACTGCAAGGTCATAATTAATAGTGGAAGCTGTATTAATGCTGTGTCATCTGCTATGATTTCTAAGCACCACTTGAAAGCTACACCACACTCGAACCCCTACAAGGCCGCTTGGATCAACTCGACCGCCTTAGAAGTGCAAGATAGGAGTCTCATCCTTATTGAGTTTGTGGGATACAAGGAGAATATATGGTGAGATGTTTTAACTATGAATGTTGGCCAAATCATCCTCGGTCGCCCCTGGTTGTTATATAAAGACATGCACATTTATGGGAGATCAAACACCTGCGTGTTTGAGTACGATGGTAAGAAGATTAAGCTCCTACCCACCCAACCCAAGTATGCCAAGGAAGAGGTAAAGCCCACCCTCCTTAAACCCAGTACAGGCCAAAATCTATTGACCGCCAAAGACCTGGATACTGAGTTAGAATTAGGATCACCTTTATACGCCTTAGTGGCGCGGGAAGTGAGTGCCGATTTGGAGGAGCCTATCCCTGAAGAAGTAAAACCTCTCCTTGAAACCTTTGCTAGTGTTTTCCCAGAATATTTGCCCAACCAACTTCCACCGTTAAGGGACATTCAACACGTCATTGACCTGGTACCCGGGGCTTCCTTACCCAACCTACCCCATTACCGTATGAACCCTGTTGAGCATGCTGAGCTCAAGAAACAAGTGGATGAGTTGTTACAACATGGTTTTATTAAAGAGAGCCTTAGTCCGTATGTTGTCCCCGCCCTTCTAACCCCCAAGAAGGATGGGTCGTGGAGAATGTGTGTTGATAGTCGCAATATCAACAAAATCACTGTCAAGTAT